AGCTGTTGCATTGTGGTAAACTGTGGTCAATGACATGAGACAAAGTATATGTGAACTGCTGTATGGAAAGTGAATTTGCTCTGTAAATCTTCACCCAAATAAAAAAAGAAAAAGAAGTATTTGGATGGGATCAAACTGACAACAGCAACTTAAAAGATTAGATAAGAATGGTAGGGGCCAGTGAGTTTATGTTAATGGGGAGGAACAACTCAGAAAGGAGGGCAAGAATGGCTGCACAACTTAAAGAATGTCATCGGTGTCACTGAACTCTACATGGAGAAACTGTCAGATCAGTGTATGTCCTGCTGTACATATTCTTAATAACAAAAAATAATAAATTTTTTATAAATCCCAAAAACTAGAATGAGATACTACTTCATGACCATTAGGACTGTTACTATCAGGCAAAAAGAAAATAAAAAGTGTTGGTGAAGATATAGAGAAATTGGAACGTTCTTACAGTGCTGGTGGCAATGTGAAATGGTACTGTGGAAAATCCAGAATTACCCTAAGACCCAGCAATTCCACCCAAGGCATATACAGGCAGTCCACAAGCAACAAACGAGATTCATTCCTAAGTGTGTCTTTAATTTGTAGGTCAGTAGAACAGGTACATACCGTTCTTATTTCGCCTTACTTTAGCGCAAAAAATGGGAGCTCTGGTGGTACTGTGGTTAGGCATCTGGCTGCTAAACAAATAGTTAGCGGTTTGAACCCACTAGCCGCTATCTGGGAGAAAGATGAGGCAGTCTGCTTCCCTGAAGATTTACAGCTTTGGAAACCCTATGGGGTTGCTGTGAGTGGGAATCGACTATATGGCAGGGGGTTTAGTCCAAGAATAGGCCTTTTCAATGATTTAAAAGCTTCATTTGCAGCACGTGAAGGTGACTGCAATGAAAAATTTGCTTCAAGTAAGGGTTGGTTCAACTGTTTCAAAGCGAGGACAGCTTTCCATAACATTAAAGGGCAAGTACTAGTTGTCCCCAGATGTCCTTACCCAGGGACTTCCTGTACCCAAAAGACTTGAAAGCAGGCACTCAAAACAGATACTTGTACACTACTATTCAGTGCTACGTTGTTTTTAATAGCCAAAAGGTAGAAACAACCTAAGCACCCATCAATAGATGAACAGATAAATGAAATGTTGTATATACACACAATGGAATATTATTTAATCATAAAGAAAAATGAAGTTTTTATACACACTACAACATAGATGAACCTTGAAAACATTATGCTAAGTGAAATAAGTCAGCCATCAGAGGAAAAATAATGTATGATTCCACTTATATGAAATATCTAGAATATGCAAATAAAAGGTCAAAAGTTTATTAATGATTACCAGGAGCTGGGGGAAGGTGAAAATAGGGAGTACTGAGTTTCTGTTTGGAGTGATGAAATATTTGGAAATTAACAGTGGTGATGGTTGAACAAAATGGTGAATATAATTAATATAAAGCATACAGACTTTAAAAAGCTGTTATGTTTGTGACTTCTTTAATTCATGCATAAGTTTTAACACCTGTGTGAAGGTTAATATCAAGGAACTGTATACTTATAAATGGTTAAAAAGAAAAAATTTTTGCAATATGTATTTTTCTCCTCAATAAACTGAAAACAAAACCAAATCTAAAACAAAATCACATCAATACAGAGATAACAGAAAAAGTTATCAAGGAGACAGACCATGTACTACCTGATGCTGAGCGATTCTAGCATCCCTTTGATCTACTGGTCAAATGTGCCCAATTAGGCAGATGATTTAGGAAAGAGCTGCTTATATTAAGGTGGCAGGTTTCCAAGTTTCTAATCATTCAAAGAGATAAAGTGTAGCTCCAACTCCTGGAAATACCATTGTAACGAATGTAAGACAGACTGTAATTCAATTACAACTCTAACTTGTTTAAAAAGGCAAATGGCAAGTCAAAGAGGAGCCCTGGTGATTCAACAGTTAATGTGCTTGGCTGAGAATGGGAAGGCCAGCAGTTCCAACCCATCAAGTGTTATGTGGGAGAAAGATGAAGCAGTCTCTTTTTGTAAAGATTACAGCCTTGGAAACCCTATGGGGCAGTCCTACTTTGTCCTGCAGAATTGCTATGAGTTGAATTAACTCAACAGCAATGGGTTTTTGGTCTGGTGGCAAGTCAAAACAGTATGCTGGTTGCCAAACTGGAGCCTAGCAAGAAGATGTCCAAAGAATAGGCACAATGGCACTTAGCCATTGAACTCTAGTGAGAGAGAGGCGAGAGTGAAACAGCGGACACACTCATGCCTGTACTACCTGTTGCCTGAATCCATAGCAACCACATAGGACAGAGTGGAAATGCCCCATGAGGTTTCCAAGGCTGTAACCTTTACAGAAGCAGAATGCCTCATCCTTCTCCAGTGTAGTGGCTGGTGGGTTTGAACTGCCACTTTTTCTCTTAGCTAACTCATACTTTAGTGAGCTCTGGTGGTATAGTGGTTAAAGCATTTGGCTACTAACCAAAAGTCAGTGGTTCGAACTCAATAGCCACTCGGCGGGAAAAAGATGAGGCAGTCTGCTTCCTATAGGATTGCTATGAGTTGGAATTGACTTGATGGCAATAGGTTTGGGTTTTTTTGGGGGGTTTAAGTCAGACTTTAGGGTTAATTTCAGTATGTAATTTTATAATGAAAATAAGTAACCTCTTGGATTTAAAAGATGAATTTGAAATAACAGCTCATGGTATCAGATCGGAGGACTGCTCATTTAACAGTCTGCGACATGCAGACAGCACAACCTTCCTTGCTGAAAGTGAAGATGACCTGAAGCACTTAGTGAAGATTAAAGACAGCCTGCAAAATGGATTACACCTCAACATAAAGAAAATGAAAATCCTTGTAACTGGACCAATAAGCAGCATCACAATAAATGGAGAAAAGACACGAAGAAAATGGAGATAAATTGTGAAAGATTTCGTATTACTTGTTTCCACAATCAACACCAATGGAAGCAGCAATCAAGAAATCAGACATCCCTTGTGACTGGTACACCATGCAATCCTCAGCCTATATGACTATGAGATCAGAAGAACTAGATTGTGCCCAGCTACCACTGTCAACCACTCAGAGAGGGATCTTTGTAGGACATCCTGGATAGAGAAGGAGAACAATGTGGAACAAAACTCAAAATCATTTGGGGGGAAAAAAAAAAAAAAGGGAGACAAGGTTTGCTCGTCTGATAGAACCTGGTGGAACCACTGAGACTATGGTCCCTAGCTGCCCTTCAGGTCTGGAATTGAACCCACACCTGTGGCTTCCAGCCAAATAAAAGACAGGCGTAAGAGGTGAACATGTAACTGAGGTAGCTACATCCCTTGGAGAGAACAATCATGGGAGAAAGAAGGGCTGTTCATGCACAGGAAGACAGTTCAGGGGGCAGGAGTGCATGCAGGGATCGACACAGGGAAGAGGTAACTTCGGGAGGTAGTGGGAGGGGAGGTGTTGCACTGGGGTAAACTGTCAATGTCATCAGACAACGTGTATGTGAATTGCTGTAAGGAAAGTGAATTTGCTCTGTAATCTTTCACCCAAATCACAATTAAAAAAAAAAAAAAGAAATCATACATCATACATCATATTGCACTGGGCAAATCTGCTACAAAAGACCTCTTTAAAGTGCTGAAGAGCAAAGATGTCTCTTGGAAGGCTAAGGTGTGCCTAACCGAAGCTATGGTATTTTCAACAGCCTCGTATCATGTGAGAGCTAGACAATGAACAAGGAAGACTGAGGAAGAATTGACACTTTTGAGTTGTGATGTTCACGAAGAATACTGAAAGTACCATGGGCTGCCAGAAGAATGAACAAATCTGTCCTGAAAGAAGTGCAGCTGGAATGTTCCTTGGAAGTGAGAATGGTTAGTCTTTATCTCACCTACTCTGGTCATATTGTCAGAAGGAACCATTTCCTGGAAAATGGTAAAGTGGAGGGTCACTGAAAAAGGGGAAGACCCTGAATGAGATGGAGTGACACAGTGGCTGCAATGATGGGCTCAAGGCTCAGGTATAGCAAGGATTGAGGGGATGGCGCAGGACCAGCTACTGTTTTGCTCTGTTGTACACAGGGTCGCTATGAGTCAGAGGTGACTCGACAGCACCAAACAACAACAACAGGGCTCAAAGAGGTAAATTTTATTTGCTACGTACTACCAATAAAGCATACAAGACTTTAAAAAGCTGTTATGTTTGTGACTGCTTTAATTCATGCATAAGTTTAACACCTGTGTGAAGTTGAGAAGCCCAAGGAAGGAAACACATACTGATGTGAAATAATTACCTTTTGAACTAGAGGGAGGGCTGCCTTGTTGCCTCCTCTTGGCATCGCTGAGAATGTCGATAAGCAGCGTGGCAAACTCATGCGCATTGAACCGAGCTAATTTCTGTCTGCCCTGAGGGTGAGAAAATAACTGGAAATATTCCCATTGTAGAAGACAGACACATAAATATTCACACAAAACTAGTCAGACTATTGTTAGACTTCTGCCAAGGCCCTCCAACAAGTTTACAATATGACCAATTACAGCCACAATGGAATCAGCCACTCACGTTTTCATGCTATCAGTTAACTCATTCAAGTAAGAGAACTTTAGGACATTTACGTTCTTACAGTGCATATTAATTTTGTGAACAAAACACAATTCTATATAATGCTTTTCTTCTAATATCAATTCAATTTTTAAGTTGACCTAGTAAGGACAAATTAATTTGGAGAGAAAGTTCAAAATTTCAAGATAAAGAATGTTCATTCATTGTTACACAGTCATATTAATAAATTAAAAATAAATTGTCATTTGAATTAATGCACCATTTCTCTTGCTGGTTATTTAGGCTGTTCTAAGGCTCTATTATTACATGTGCACTGCTCTGATGGATAGCACTATGCATGGATCCTTGAATGTTTTAGTATTTGATTAGAACACATTCCCAAATGAAGACTTCCCAAGTGAAAAGGATGGGCTGAACTGAGGCTCTGAAACTGATGAATAGATTGCTTTTTGAAGTTTGCAGCAATTTAAACTCTTATCTGCAGCAGGAGACAGGCCATCATGCCATGTCCTTTCAGCTTGGAGTATCCTTTTAGTGTATATTTTATTCATTTGATGGATCAAAGTTAATGTCTTTAGGGTGCTTTCTTGGATAACTAATGAGGTTAAACATTTCTTCCCATTTGTAAGCCATCTATATTTCTTCTGTGAATTGTTTTACATCAGTTCCCTGTTATACATTTACATCGATTGGTTTTCTTAATCAATTTATTAGTTGTGTGTATGACATATGTAGGATACTAACATTTTATCCATCAAAAAACTTAAGATACCTGCCTTGGGAAAATCAAATACCATGCTATCAGTCATTCCCAACGTATTACTACAAGATACTTTTCAAACTCAGCCACTTGCCTGATTGCGTGTCGACGAGTACTCAGGATTGACCGGAAGGAAGGGAACGACGGTTGTCTCGGTTACCAGGGTGCTGTGGTTTTGAGTGGCAAGCCAGACTAGCCAGAGGAAAGAGCCAGACATAGAATCTCATCACAATTGGGTGCCACTGCTGCTCTGAGGGCCCCAGCTTGCGCTTTACTAGGGAGACTTGGGGGAGCACATTCTGAAGCCAACATACACAAAGGTCAATGTCAATGCACACGTTATCAGGACAGGAGAAACTAGGCAAGGCAAACACTGAAGCTGGAGGCTTGTCACTGCCCACTGATAGCAGAAGCTTACTAGATAAAGCCATGTGATAAGTCACCTGCATCAGTCTCTCGCCTGTCAACTTCATCGTACACGTCCATGGCAAGTTCTTCAAACAAATGATTACTTAGCTGAAAGTAAAAAATATCAGGAACACAAGGGACAAGGATTAACACTAGAGGGGCCTTGGTTGCCCTCTTATCTCCAATGTCTTACCCAAAGCCAGTACTTGCTAGCAAATAGTAACTGTGAAAAGAACAGACGATAAGAATTTCAAAATAGTACCGATCCTCTAGAAATGGCCTCCCACTGTAGCTTTGTTCCTTCCTGATACAGATACGGTTGCTGCTATTAAGGATGTAAGATGTGTGCACAGCACATAATCTCAAAAGCAAGTTCAAGTTCTCTGTCTTCACGTGGTATTTATTACCCTTTCAGTTTCCTCTTCTGCTCTTGAAAGCACATGCCAGTTCCCCAAAATACAAGAGACTCTAAATACTGGGTAGGATAAAGAAGCCAAAATATGCTATGTTGAGGACTATAATGTGCCACTGAACAAAAGTATCACCCAGGCCTCCGTTAAGGTTCTCTGCTACCTTCCTAGCTAGCAGCCCTTCAATTCCCCAAAGCACTGAGCTTTCCAAATAAAGCATACATTACTGACCACTATGCTGTGCAGTGTTAGCTGACCAATCACCACACAGACCAAAGTGCCAAATGGAGGCAGTGGAGACAGGTAGGGCAATCAAGGTCTTCTTCACTCAGACTCCTTGCACTTCTTTGTCTCATAAAACTAACCTGTCAGTGACAGTCTTCATTTCCTAATCAGTTGCTTCCCTGAAACTCCATCCTAAGGCACCCTGGTGGGGCAGTGGTTACGGCGTCCAGCTACTAACCAAAAGATCAGCAGTTGGAACTCACCATCTGCTCCATGAGAGAAAGATGAGGCAGTCTGCTTCTGTAAAGATTTATAGCCCTGGAAACCTTATGGGGGTTGCTATGAGTCAGAATCAATTCAATGGCAGTGGGTTTGGTTTGGGTTCTACTGTGTTCCTTGCATAAGGAGCTCTGGTGGTATAGTGAGTAAGACATTTGGATGCTATAGTCAGAAGGTCAGTGGTTCAAAATCACCAGCTGCTCTACAGGAGGAAGATGAGGCAAACTACTTCTGTAAACCCAATGGGGATGCTATGAGTTGGAATCAACTGGATGGCAATGGGATTTTGGTGTTCCCTTCATACACAAACAGGACAGGGTATTTAGGAGGTACTCAATACATATCCACTGATGGACTGACCAGGAGGTATTTTACACAGTGATTTGAAATTATGGCTATACAACCTCATGGGAACACATTAAAATGGGTGCAATACACTGTTAGGGGGAATTAAAAAACCAATCATGATATAAAAATTCTATAATTAAGTTTCAGTTTAAAAAATAGTCACACACATGAAACAAGAAGAAATATCAAAATAGTAAGTCTGAATCCTTTGAGTGTAGTGATTGAGAATGCTTCCTTTTCTATTTTCAAAATGTGCTCTAATCTGGTTATATCACATTTATAATGAAAAATAAATCCCCAAAAATAAAATAAAAATAAATCTTGAAACCTTATTGCTGGTTAAGATGATGAAGGATTGGGAACTTGACTTTGCTTTATAAATATTCAGTTTCCTTCCTCCAGAGGCTACACTAATGTTACCATTACTAATGACTGTAATGGTTGAAACTGACTGAGCGCTTACATCCCAGACACTGTGCTAATATCATCACATGTAATCCAACATCCCTATAAAGATACTATTATCATCCCATTTTCCAGACGAGGAATTGAGGCAAAGAACTTAGTAGCTTGCCTAAAGTCCCAAAGCTAATAAATTAAGTGATGGACCTGAGATCCAAATTTAAGTCTCTCAAAATATAACCATTTGCTGAGTCAAGAAACACATTAATGTTTGTTACATTCCTCTCAGCTTTTCATCAGGAAGGAAGGAAGGAAAGAAGGAAGGAACAGAAGATAAACATTAAACTGGCACTGATTAGAGTGCTCACCTATGGGAAGGGGACCAAGGAGGTGGGGGTCCACGAGTAGTAACAATAGCAGTTAACCCTTACTGAGCAGTACTGATTTGCAACCCCGGCTGTATCATTATCTCCTTCTAGAAAAGAATACCAAGGCACAGAGAGGCTGGGAGCTTGGCACAGCTGAGATCTGGACTCGACCAAGCTGACCCAGAGCCCCAGTTCCTGAGTACTGTACTAGACTTTGTTCCAGACATTTATTTAGTGATGCTAAATGCTAGAGATATTACAGACACAATCCTGGCTTTCATGGAACTTCCAGGCAGCAAACATAGAAAAGTCAAAGGGAATAATAATAATTTGCTTACATATTACTCAGGTAATTAAAAAGATATCACATAATATTGAGTGCTATCTGACTCCAAAGCTTAATGGTCTTATTATACAAACTCTTTAATTGAAGAAAGGCAATAAAAAACACAGACACACAGAACCATAGATAGAGAACACAAAGACACCAAACAAATTGCATAAAATACATTTATTTCATATTACAGTTAAGTACTAGTGAAAGATAAATTCATTTAATATAATATTTACTACTTAATATTATTTGAAGTCATAGTAAGAGTGAAAAGGGAAATGAAGGGGAAGGCATATATTAGGGAAGCTGCAGTATTGGGAAAATTACTACCTAAATTGTGAGGGTGGACAGAGCTCAGCTACTTGAATGGTAAGAGGGCTGGAAGCTGGGAAAGGGAACAAAACATATAAGGATTCCTAAAGGAGGACCCGAAAGCGGCAGCGAATGGTCTCAGAGAATGTTAAGCAATAAAGAAATACGTAAACAGACACACACACACACACAACGGGAACCAGACGGGAAGGCAAAAAAAAAAAAAAAAAAAGGTAAGAGTTGAGTGACACCCTTACAGGTTCTGCAAAGATGTTAAGGATCTTGGTTCTGATCCAGAGAGCAATAAGGACAGCTAGGAGTGTAACAGGAGCTCTGGTAGCATAGAGCCTAAGGCACTTGACTGCTAACCAGAAGGCTGGCGGTTCAAACCCACCAGCTACTCCTCAGAAGGAAGGTTGGGCAATCTACTTCCGTAGTGATACCGCCTCAGAAACCCAAGGAGGAGTCGCTATGAGTCGGATCCGACTCGACAGCACGTAACAACAATCCGACTCGACAGCACGTATCAACAACAACAACAACAACAGGAGTATGATGTGGTTAAAATGGCCCTGCCTGAGGTTGGAGAGATACACAGATGACAGTGAGGTTGTAAACCTGCTGAGCTGGGCAAGCTCTGAGCACGAATCCAGGGCAGGACTATTTGCTTTTAAAATCCTAAATTTTAACATCTCAGGTGAATGGCATGGGATACGCAGGGGAATTAAAACAGTAGCTGGGTGTCAAGTGGTTGCAAGGTTAATCTATGCGACTGACCACTGCTGCACTAACTTCTATCATTCTCTGGCATCCCACATGACTAGAAGAAGTCGTCCTAATCAAGTTAACATACTGATACTGGGAGAAACTAGAGGACTCACCTGGAGAAACAACTCCCCAATATCAAAAGCACGGCTTTCACTTTTAAAATGACAGATAACAATGGTATTGTTTGAAGCAGAGCCAATGAATCAGACACACTACACTTAGTAGTACTTTCCTTCTTCGTCCCTACATAAGTAAATGGTTTCCTGCTGACTTCACAATATCTCTAAGTATGAAACAAAGTCATCTGACGCAAACAGGTAACCTGGACTGAGAATGGGTATTAGAAGGAGATGGTGATACCCACACTGGATTTCACTAGTAAAGAGAGATACTCACAGACTGAAGTTTCTTCTTAGCAGCTTTTGCCAACTCAGACAAATCCAGGCTGCTAAGAAAATGTACAAAACTAATAAGCAAACAAATAAAACCATGTTTTCTTGTGAGCTCTGTAGAAGATACCCCAAAACTCAAAATATTAATTACAGTTTACAGAAACTATCAGCGCCAGGAATTCTACAGGCTAGCAGAGGTCAGGGAAGAAATTATGGACATAATAACCTGGTGAAAGTAACTCCTCCTGGAAATACCATGGATTATATAGCGTGGTTAAGGGGGCAAAAAAAAAAAAACAAAAAACCTACCAACTGAAAGACAAAAACTACTGCCAAGCTAATCTCCAGGCTCTTATGTGAGAAATTACAAATCTGAACTATACACAAAAGCATGATAGACAAAAATATGAAAAGGTCCAAAAAAAAAAACACCTCACTGCTGTTGAGTCAATTCGACTCATAGAGACTCCTCCTTGGGTTTCCGAGGCAGCATCGCTATGGAAGTAGATTGCCCAGTCTTCCTTCCGAGGAGTGGCTGGTGAGTTTGAACCGCCAGCCTTCTGGTTAGCGGCCAAATGCCTTAGGCACTGTGCCACCAGAGCTCAGAATGTGAAAAACCAGAATTGCAAGATTACATGTGAACAGTAGTTATCATTCCATAAACTCCTATGAGTATCTGTGCCAAAGTAACTGGCTCAGTAAGGGCTTAAGGAGTCACTGTTACAGCAGTGAGCCCATCTGATATAAACCAGGGGTCAGCAAATGACAGCTCGCTTTTTGCTCAGCCCATAAGTAAGAATGACTTTTACATTTTCAAACAGTTGGGGAGGGTATGTTTCATGACACATAAAAATTATATGGAATTCAAAGTTCAGTGTTCTGAAAATTTTACTGGATACAGACATATGCCTGTTCATTTACATGCTGTCCACAGATACTTTCACGCTAGAGTGGCAGAGGTGAATAGGAGCAGCAGAGGCCATGTGGCCCTCAAAGCCTAAAATGTTTACTATCTGTCCCTTTATAGAAAAAGTTTGCCAACCTCTGCTATAGACAAAGGATATAATGTCTTATATAATAGACATACTCTGTTAATATAATCTATAGATACAACATTCTGCCACAAATGGCTAAAACAGAGGCACTATCACTGATTCCCATTTTCTTTTTAGAAAATCTGTAAATTGTACTCTTTCAAACTTAAGTTTTATATGGTGGTTTACTTACAGCCGTCTTATTTCCAAATCGTATAGCCATAAAAGAGAAAAATGTATGGGCTTTGTTAAACACAAAGTACAATGCACTTAAATACTATACAACCAAGGAGTGACAGAAAAATATTAATTGGTATTTCAACTGGCCTTACCTGTCTGCCATTTGAGGTATTATAAAGTGCTGTCCATTTTTGTGATCTGAAAGAGAAACCAAGGCAAAGTTTTGTTCATAAAATAGCTATCAGTTAAAACTGTACAGTAACATTATCTATCTACAGAGACAGAGAGAGAGAAACCAAAGATTATTAGTGGTTACCAGAAGGAGTAGGAGCTCTGGTAGCATAGTACCTAAGGCACTTGACTGCTAACCAGAAGGCTGGCGGTTCAAACCCACCAGCCACTCCTTGGAAGGAAGGTTGGGCAATCTACTTCCATAGTGATACCACCTCAGAAACCTGAGGGAGGGTCACTATGAGTTGGGACCAACTCCACGGCACATAACAATAACAACAATGGGTAGGAGGGAGGGGAAAAGGGGAAGCTTTTGTGTGTGGGGCATTGAGTTTATACTAATGGTGGTACAATACTTTGGAAAAGGACAGCAATAATGGTGGCACAACATGAAAAATGACAACAATGTCCTCGAGCTGTAAATGGGGAAGTTGTTATGTTGGCAAAAGTCTTGTGTATGTTTTCACCACAATGAAAGTGAAAAAATATTTCAGTAAGAGCTGTAAATGCACCACTACCATTATTTTCTCAATTTATGTTTTAAAATTAGTAGTTTTTCCTAATTTTGAAATTGAGTGGGAGAACAGAAGCTGCCATTTAATCAGACTGGCTACAAATTCCCAAAGAGCTGACTAGGTCCCAGGGTCCCACCCTCATTTTCTTCTGGAACAGGGGTCCAGGCAGGATCCAGGAGAAATCCTGTGCTCACCCCAATCCTTACAGGGTTGATTCTCAGAATAAACTGACACTCCTCAGCCTTGGGAAGGCATTCCAGGGAGCTGAATTAGCTCAGCTATCCGTGTGAGATGGCAGAGCTTTGCGGAGCTTTGGTGGGCCAAATGAATCAACTAGTATAAAAACTCCTGCAGTCAGGGCCAGGGCAGGAGGCCTTTGCAGAACCAAGCCAAGGCTCCCTCTTTCGTGGTCCTTACTGACTTGGTTCTACTCTAGTTTATGGAGGACATTCTGATCATGATCCAATGCATAAAGCCACTCTAAAGATCCACATACAGGATTGCTGGGTCACATGTACAGTTAACATTGTAAGAAACTGCCAGACATTTTCCTATAGGAGCTCCATCATTTTGCATTCTGAGACAAAGTAAGAGTTACAAAGGCCCTGCATTTTCCCCAGGATTTGGTGTCGTCACTTTTTGTATTTTTATCTTAGGCATAAAAACCAAAAAACAAACTCACTGCCATCAAGTCAATTCTGACTCACAGTGACTCCAGTGGGTTTTCAAAGTGGTAAATCTTTACAGAAATAGGTTGCCTCATCTTCCTTCCATGAAGCGGCTGGTGGGTTTGGGCCGCCAACATTCTGGTTAGCAGTCAAATGCCTGAGGCACTGCCCTACCAGAGCTCCTTATTTTAGGCATATTAATAGGCATGTATAGGCGCTCTGGTGGCGTAGTGACTAAGGCATTTGACTGCTAACCAGAAGGCTGGTGGTTCAAACCCACCAGCCACTCCTCGGAAGGAAGACTGGGCAATCTACTTCCACAGAGATAGTGTACTGCCTTGGAAACCCAAGGAGGGGTTGCTATGAGTCAGAACTGACTCAAGGGCAGTGAGGTTTTTTTTTTTTTAAATAAGTATGTATTGGTTTCTCATTGTGGTTTTGAGTTGTATTTCCCTAATGGCTAACAATATTGAGTTTCTCTTGATGTGTTTGTCATCTGTATATAATCTTTATGGAGCTCCGATGGTGCAGTGCCTAAAGCATTCAGCTGCTAACCAAAAGGTCGGTGGTTCAAACCCAACAGCCATTCCTCAGGAGAGAGATGAGGCAGTGTGCTTCTGTAATGATTTACAGCCCTGGAAACCCTATGGGGCACTTCTGTCTGACTTACATAATCGCTGAGTCAGAATCAACTCAATGCAGTGGATTTGGTTTTTGATTTATAGTTTTTGTCCATTTTTTACTGGGTTGTGTTATGGACTGAATTATATTCCCCCAAAATAGGTGTTGTAAATCTTAACTTCTATGCCTGTGGTTATAATCCCATTTGAGCATAGGTTGTCTTCACTATGTTAATGAGGCAGGATTAGCGTAGGGTGTATTTTGCACCAATATCTTTTGAGATATCAAAGAGACTAAACACATATACTGAAGTAGGGAGGGGGGAAGAGAAAAGCCAAGCCCCATGAACACTGCCCAGAAGCAGAAGCTCAGAAGAAACAAGGGCCTTCCTCCAGAGCGACAGAGAGAGCCTTCCCTGAGAGCCTGTGGTTCAAATTCAGAGTTCTAGCCTCCTAAACTGTGAGAAAAGGAAACTTCTGTTTTCTAACGCCATCCACTTGTGGTATTTCTGTTATAGTAACACTGCTGATTGTATTTTTACACAAATAACATGCACGTTATTCTATTTTTGCAAACCACACAACTCCCTCACATTAATTTCGTTGGTATGCTAGCAGAAAAAAACAGTGACTAAGGTAAGTTGTTTTCTTACTGAATTTTGAGAATTCTTTACATATTCTGAACATCCTTTGCTGGGTGTGTGATTCCCAAATATTTTTTTACAGTCTATCGCTTGTCTTTTCATTGTTAACAGCACCTTTTACAGATTTTAATTTTGACAAAGTCCAATTTCATAATTAGCTTCTTTTATGGATTTTGAGCTTTACCTCATTCAAGATCACAAAGATTTTCTCCTACCTTTTTTCTTCAGTCTAAAGTTTTATAGTTTTAGGTTTTACGTGTAAATTTCTGATTCATCACTGCCTAAGATGTATAGTTTTGGCTGAAGCTCATCTTTCTGCCCATGGATGTCCAGCAGTGCCAACGTAATATATTGAAAAGACTGTCCTTCTTCTACTGGCTCAGCTTTGCACCTTCGTCAGAATCACTGAACGAATTCATGTGTCTTGTTCTGGATTCTCTACACTGTCCCATGGCTACCTCTTCACCAATAAAGTACTGTAGAGCACTGTCCTGAGCACTGTGGAACTTTGTAACAAATCTTAAAATTAAGTGGTATAACTCTTCCCACATTATTCTTCTTTTGCGAAACTGTCTTTGTGACTCTAGTTCCTTTGCCTTTCCATGTAAATTTGGAATCGGCATGTCTCTCAAATTGCATTAAGTCTATACTCTTTTTGTTTGTTTTAGAATATTTATTTTTACCTTTTCATTGTGATCTGAGTGAACATTTACAGAGCCAATTGCTTTTTTCATTCAAAAATTCATACATGTTTTGAGACATCAATTAAAATTTCTGCAATGTAATAGCACTCTTCCCACTTCCTCTCCATGTTTACTATTCATTCTCCTTCCCTTCCTGCCCTCTGAGCTTTATCCCTGGGCAAATTCTGCCCCTCTGATCTCAGATCTCATTTGGTTGACTGCAAGTCTATACTTTGATTTCTGGAGAACTGGTAACTTCACTATGTTAAGTACGTCTTTCCACTTAGGTTTCCTTAGATTTTTTTCATTGGCATTTTGTAGTTTTCAGCATATGGATCCTACACATTCTGTTAGCTTTACACCTAAGTATTTAATTTGGAGCTACTGTAAATGGTATTTTCTAATTTTAGTTTCCAATTGTTCAATTGTCTATAGAAATACAATTGATGAACTTTTTTTGTAGTTTCCTAGGGATTTTCTATATAGAAATCTTCTAATTTATGAATAGATATAATTTGATTTCTTTCTTTTTCAATCTGTATGCCTTTTCTTTCTTTTTTTCGGCTATAGCATTGGTTAAGGAACTCTGGTGGCGAGGTGGTTAAGGTATCTGGATGCTAATCAGAAGGTAGATGGCTCAACTCTACCAGCTACTCTGTGGGAGGAAGATGAGGCAATCTATTTCCATGAAGATTTACAGCCTTGGAAACCCTATGGGGGTCGCTGGGAGTCAGAAGAGACTCGATGGCAGTGGGTTTTTGGTTTGTGGCGTTGGTTGAGGTTTCCACTGCAGTGCTGAATCAGAATGGTGAATATATGTATTCTAGCCTTGTTCTGGATCTTAGGATAAAAGCACCTAGTCGTAGCATAGTGCCTAAGGCACTTGACTGCTAACCAGAAGGCTGGCGGTTCAAACCCACCATCCACTCCTCAGAAGGAAGGTTGGGCAATCTACTTCTGTAGTGATACCACCTGAGAAACCCAAAGAGGGTTTGCTATGAGTTGGGTCCGACTCGACGGCAGGTAACAACAACAGTCTTTCATCATTAAGGATGATGTTCACTGTGGGTTTTCTACAGATACCCTTTATCAGATGAAGGAAGTTCCTCCTGTTCCTCTTTCCTAAGAATTTTTATCATGAATGAATGCTGTATTTTGTTAAATGCTTTTTTGCATCAATTGATATGATCACACAATTTTTCACTTTTAGTCTCATTATGGATTGAATTGTGTCCCCAAAGATATGTGTTGTAAATCCTAACTCCTATATCTGTGGTTAGGAGCCCTGGTGGTGCAGTGTTTAAGCCAAAAGGTTGGTGGTTCAAATCTACCAGCTGCCTCAAAGGAAAAAGATGTGGCAGTCTGCTTCTGTAAAGATTTACAGCCTTGGACACCTTATGGGACAATTCTACTCTGTCCTATTTGGTCACTATGAGTTGGAATCACAGCAGTGGGTAGTTACAGGTATACCTATGGTTACAATTCCATTTGGGAATGGGTTGTCTTTGTGGTGTTTATGAGGCAGTATTAGTTCAGGGTGTGGTGAGTCAATCTCTCATGACATAAAAGCAACAGATTATATAAGACAAAATGGGGGAAGATAGAAGCCAAGCCCCATAAAGATCACCAAGAACAAGGACGTTCCCGAGAGCTGACAGAGAAAGTCTTCCTCTAAAGCCAGCTCCCTGAATTCAGACTCTGTCTCCTAAACTGTGAGAAAATAAATTTCTTTTCATTAAAGCCACTTGTGGTATTTTGGCTATAGCAATACTACCTAACTAAGACAGAATGTTGATGGATCATATGAACTGATTTTCAAATGCTGACTCAGTCTTGCATACCTGGGATAAACCCCACTTGGTTACACTGTATTATTCTTTTTATTTATATAATGTTGGGTTCAATTTGCTAATATTTCATTGAGTTTCTTACTGTATAACCAGAGTGGAGAACTCCTATTTGTGGATATTCTACAGCAGAGGTTAGGAAACTCTTTCCGTAAAGGGCCAGACAGTAGTTATTTTAGGATTCATAGCCCATCAATCTCTGATGAAACTACTCAACACTGCCACTGTAGTGAGAAGTAGCCACAGACAATACATAAATGAACTGGCATGGTGATCTTGTAATAAAACTTTATTTATAAAAACAGGTGAGGGGCTGGGTTTGGCTCACAGACTGTAGTTTCCAACCCACTCTACATCATGAATAACAAAGTTGGCTAATGGTAAAATTCACTTTTGGACCTTTTTCCATTTCTGAGAAGGCAGAATTCTTCAAATAACTACAAAAGTTACTGCTTTGTTTTTCTACTTCTAGTCCCAGTCTGCTCAAGTATAATGATGCATGTTCTATGTTTTTTGATTCCTGAAACAGTCACTTCTCTAGAGTTAAATAAAGTTCTAAAAACTAAAAATTCAAGGAGCTTTGTTCAACTTTATAATTTTTACATGTTGTTGTTGTTGTTTTTGCCGTCGAGTCGGCCCCGACTCATAGCGACCCCTCCTTGGGTTTCTGAGGCAGTATCACTACGGAAGTAGGATTGCCCAACCTTTCTTCCAAGGAGTGGCTGGTGGGTTTGAACCACCAGCCTTCTGGTTAGCAGTCAAGTGCCTTAGGCACTATGCTACCAGAGCTCCTATAATTTTTACATATAACAGACAATTCTGCAGTTACCTTACCATTTCAAATAAACTCTGACTCACAGTTTTCTTGTGGACATGTGAAAGCAAAGGAGGTCAGAAAACTAGTGTCTCAGCTTGTTTTTCCAGAGACTTACTGACTGGAGCTTACTCACCTGGTTTCCTGCCACAGAGATAGAAGGCTAGTCTGTCAGTCAGCTCATACTGTATTTCTACAAGGCGTTCTGCCAGTTCATGGTGCCCTCCTTGCCTACCAAGACAAAACAAAGTATCATTTATACTGCTCACCACTCAATGGCTTTAGAACATAAAAATACAAAGATATCTCTGAAGACATCTGAGCCATTTATCACACACGACTTTGTAGAATAATCAACCTTCTTGTGTGAATACACCGTTAAGGTCTACTCTAATATCCATCTTATAAACTATTTCACACTTTGAACTACTCTGGTTCTTAATTAATTTACAAAACAGAATACTCAATAAGGAATTCAAGGACTTATGAGATAGAGAACTAGGGTGCTTTAAAAAATATATAGTAAGCCCAGGCCTCACCCTTAGGGATTCTAAATCTGTAAGGATGAGGTGGGGCCCAGGTATCAGTATTTTGAAGAAGGGGATTCCTTCCAATGATTCTGATGCAGCCAGTCTGATTCTAGATGAGGGTCTAGTAATCACTCTCAGGGCTTCAATTCAGGGAGAGACAGACCAAACTAATATACACCTCATAACACTTGCAGCTACCTATCTTCAATTTCTGTAACAGAAAATGAGAATATTAAGTTTTCCTTTCTTCATTTATGAAATAATATTTAAGTTGCTTGACACCCTGTTAGTAACAAAGCATATACATGTATCATTACCTTGAGGGACCATTATATGCAAGATACATAAGAGAAATTCCAGAGTAAGTGATAATAAGTATCATTTACTGATAGCTCTCTTATCCTATAAAGATCTAGTTTCAGCCAGTTTCTCTTCCCATCATTTAAGGCACTACAAAATATCTTCCAACCTACTGAACTTCCTTGGTTTTTTAAGACTTAAATCTTTTTTTCCCTCAATTTTTAACATCCGTGAAATCAGGAAGTATCCTATGATTGCTGGTATACAGTATTTTAGTTGGGGGGGGTTGTTTCTTTCTCAGCGATACATGAAATAATGATGAACCATACAATCAATAGAGTCTTAGATCTGACGACATCATGTACTCATCCCCAACCAGAAACTTTCGCTCTCAGGACTCCCAGTCACACGCTGCTCCATCCAGTCAGGTCTCCTGCTCTGCTGAGTATGTGCCCTGCCACCCTACCTCCAAATCTTGATTCATGCCTGCCTTCCTCCTTCATCTACCCAAATCCAACTCATTCATCCAAGACCATCTACAGAAATTTCTTAATGATTTAGACCACAATGAAGAAACCCTATAAATACCTTTTAAGAACAATTACTCATTTGGGCAATGAATCACATACTATCTCGCCTCACTGACTCTGATGCCTTTATGAATCACTTCTTGCAAGAGACAGTCAATTCTGGGAGGGCAGAACTTTGTCACTTCATCTATTTTCTCTTCTGCAGAGCAGAGTGAGTGGCACTTCTCAGTTAATAATGTGGAAAAAGAAGGAAAAATGATAGATTGCTGATCTCATTTAAAAGACAGTCAAATCTAACCTATAGATTCAGTTAGTTAGCCAACATTTCATAGTTAAAATTTCTGAACAAAAAAAATTTACAGAATTTTACACTGAGCACCCAAATGTCTACAACCTGAGATCTACAATTAACATCTTACTACACATGTTTAATTATATACAGGTTTATCTTTAAACCTAAGTAATGAAAAAGAGCATTAAAAAACCCGGAGAGTGGGTTTTACAATTCTCAGTACTTGACTTGCACTATGGCTCAAATACTCTTGTGCTTTGAAGGGTCAAGTAAAAGACTGAAGGAGGCTTGGTGGTGCAGTGGTTAAGTGCTCAGTGGCTGAGAGGTCAGCGGTTTGAACCCACCAGCCACACTGCAGGAGAAAGATGTGGCAGTCTGCTTCTATAAAGATTCACAGCCTTGGAAGCCCTATGGGGTAGTTCCATTCTGTCCTTTAGGATCGCTATGAATTGGACTCGACTCAATGGCAGTGGGTAAGAGGCTGGAAGATGAATACACTGGTTTATAATTCTACCCTTTCCTGTGTTTGCCAGGCTCAGCTGGTAAGTGAAATGTCTTCACCTGCAAAATAACAGAATGTAAATCTTTAAAGGGTTAAATGCTAATCATACACAATTCAGCTGCTTAACAATGAATCATGAGGCAATCTACTTCCGTAAAGATTTACAGCCTTGGAAATCCTATAGGAGTTGCTATGAATTGGAACAGACTTGCGGGCAGTGGGTTTTTTATGAATCCCAAACAGAGAGAAGAGATGAGATTCTAGATCTCCTACCTTGCATAATCAACAGGTGTTTTCCCACTAGAATCTTGTGTGCCTGGGTCTGCTCCATACACTGCCAACAACTCGGCCTGTAAAATCTGTCCTGCTTTGGAGGCAACATGGAGGGGGGTGTTTCCTTTTTCCTAGGAATCATTATTAAAAAGGAGACAAAAAGCAAATTAACCAAAGGCTGCACGAACACAACCAATTTTGTTTCAGTTTAATATCTGAATCAACCCATGCTTTCTTACAGGGTGAAAGAAGTTGGCTTGTGCTCCTAAAGATAACAGTCTCAAACAGGTTTCAAGATTCCCTGTTCTCACGCTTGAATGGAGTTGCTGAAAGACACAGAAACAAAAATGAGCATTTGTTTAAAAGCAAAAAGAACGATGCACTACAGCAAATAATTTCAATACGTTTCACTAGTAATAAATGATCTTTATCTGGCTCAGTAAGATGCGGGAAACCATTCCTCCCCAGCTGGTCACAACTCCTGGGGCCGTAAGGCGGGCTCAGGCAGGAAAGCTCTCACACATGCAGCAAATGAGCTGTCTTCCCTCCAATCTAACCTCTGGAAAACTCACTGCCATTGAGTGGATTCCAACTCAGAGCAACCCCCAATGGGTTTCCAAGGCTGTAAATCTTCACGGAAGCACACCGCCTCATCTTTCTTCCACAAAACAGCTGGTGGGTTTGAACCACCAGCCTTTTGGTTAGCAGCCAAATGCTTAACCACTACACCACCAGAGTTTCTTTGCAATCTAACCTTGTGCTATCCAAAAGGCAATGCCAACTTATCATAGGGATGGAGACATGTACTCTTGACGTCCAAAACTGAGTCTTTTTAGTTAATGAAATAATAATTACATGTGTTTCAATATAAAATCAAAAAACCTGAGTTTCAGTGTCTGCACTGTATGTGCCAAAGGCAGTGCTTTGAAAATAAAGATGCACATTTCTTATAGGCTCTCTTCATAGGACCTCTGTACAGGACCAGGCAGTGTTTTGTTCTGCTGTACACAGGGTCACTGTGAGCTGGAGATGACTCGACGGCACCTAACTCTTCATAACATGCTAAGGCTCACATAAAGAAGCCAAATACCCATTTGCTGAGTATCATAAGCCATTCCAAGGAGCTCTGGTGGCATAGTGAGTAAGGCAATTGGCTGCTAATCAGAAGATCAGCAGTTCAAATCCACCTGCTGCTCCACGGGAGGAAGATGAGGCGATCTACTTCCGTAAAGATCTACAGCCTTGGAAATCCTATGGGAGTCGCTATGAATTGGAATAGACTTGCTGGGAGTGGGTTTTTTATGAGCCATTCCACGCAAACTGAAGCTCTGAGTCACACACCTTGCTTTCTGAACCTCCTACTCACTATGCAATGCAGAAGCACGGAGAAAGTTACTATCCTCCTTTGCTACTCTGGTCCTTCCTAGAAACAATCTGCCACAGACTTTCTAGTGCTCTGGAGAAACAAACGCTGAGATGGTTCCTATTTCAAAGTTAAACAAGGAAACAACTTAGAGAAATACAAAATTTAAAATATATCTGAAAAACAAGTTCTCTGGACACTAATCTTTCCAATCTGCCCTTACACCTCCATGAACAGGAGTAACTGCCATTTGACTTACAATCAAAGATGAAACCAACTGTAGAAAGGGCTGTTATTAGTTATTTAGTGTACAGAAGTGAATTTATGTTTTTCTCTTCTTCCTTTTTAAAGGTTTTTTTTTTTTTTTTTTTTTTTTTTTCAAACGAAACAGTAAGCTGATTCACCCAGCTCCCCTGAGGGATTCTGAAAGGTGCGACCCACCTTACTAAGATCTTTGGCAGTTACACTATCGTCGTCCCGGCACGGCAAGCGATGGACAAATGCTAACATCTGATACTTGGCTCTGATGAATTCTGCTTTATTGGGACTGGTTCAAAACAAAAAGGAAAACAGTTCACTTGCAGTTCAGATCTGACATTACCCATTCTTGACAATGTAGAAAGAAGAGGAAGTGACCCACATTCTCTCCTGAGAATCAAATGGACAATGCTGATTTAAGTTTCCATGCTGTTTAAGGTCTAGAGTCTGAAAATGTACATTAGTCATTATAATGGCCAGGACTACAGAAGACCTGCTTTTTATAGCCTCTTTCTTCTCTGTGTAATTTCCTCAATTGACCAACAGCCTGGTGAGGAAGCAGCATTTAACCCCATTGCCAGGGAAGGCATCAGGCAGAATGGTGCCCAGGACCTAGATTTCTGGTCTGACTGCCTCTTGTTTGAGCATCTAAGTGTAAGCCTGATTCTATCAACAGCCTCCAAGCTTTCAGTTCCAACCAGATAAACCATTTACTCGGGCTGGGTAATCAAGCAAAAGAGATGGCTCCTCCTCACCTCCGTGGGCGCTTCTGACAGCAAAGAGCCTAATACACACTTGGGGTCACCAACTCCTGTGGTGTCTTGGTAGAGGTCAGTCAAAAACAGCAGTGTCCCTTTCAGTGGGTTCCATTTGTTATGAAGAAATGAAAATATTTATAAACATGCCACTCACTGTACTTTATCCTGAGGATTAGCTTTCCGTCTTCCACTCATAATAGAAGCAGGGTCCAGCAAAGAATGCTCCCAGATAGAATTAGCACCATTATTGTACAAGGTTTCAACCATCTAAAATCAAGCAGCATGAAAATCGTATCTTAATTTCCTTCCACAAGTATTCAACGAGAATCAGTGACTGAACTGGGAGAACAAAGCCCCACCACAAACACACGCATGACTGGGATATCACTCACGTCACTGTCTCCCGATTTTAGAATTGGAAAGAACCTGGATGTAACATTCAGGTTTGACCAAGAGGACCACCTGCTAACCACCTCAATGGGTTTGACTGAAAGGCCAACACCCACCACCTACTCTTCGGGAGAAAGGAATGGCAGTCTGCTTCTGGGAAGATTATTGCTGCTGTGTGCCCTCAGGTCGATCCCGAGTCACAGTGACCCTACAGGACAGGGCAGAACTGTCCCATAGGGTTTCTAAGGCTGCAACCTCTACAGAAGCAGACTGACGTGCCTTTCTCTTGTAGAGCAGCTGATGGCTTGAACAACTCACCAGTTAGTACTCGAGAGCTTAACTACTGAGCCATCAGGGCTCTTTATGGCCTTGGAAACCCTATGGGGCAGTTCTACTCTGTTCTGTGGGTTCGCTATGAGTTAGAATTGACTTCGACGGCAATGTTTTTTTTTAAAACAGATTACCAAGAGTAGATTACTTTGTCATTTTAGGACAGTGCTTCCTAAGCATGATCATTCAAATATTATCTTCAAGATTCTTAATGACCCATTTACCACATATACTATTCACTTAATATTTTTCTTTAAATTCATTCACTTTTTAAGACTTTTACAAACAATTATGGCTTGACGTGCTAGTTATATTTTTCATATACACATGAACATCATGACTCTTAAATCTTGTTGAGTGCCATTGGTGGCTCATTATTGCTTTAGGAATAACCCTGGCATTTGAAATTACTCATCTCTAGGGATTTTATTCAAGGAGCGCTGGTGGTATAGTGGTTAAGGCATTTGGCTGTTAACCAAAAGGCCAGTGGTTTGGACCCACCAGCTTCTCCACGGAGGAAAGATGAGGCAGTCTGCCTAAAGATTTACAGTTTTGGAAACCCAATTGGAGTTGCTACAGGTCAGAATTGACTAGATAGCAGTGAGTCTGGTTTGGTTTTGGTTTGGACTTAATTCAGATCCTACAATACAATTCGGCTTTGTAAACATAGACCCGAGAGTGGCGAACATTCTTTTACTGGAGAATGAATTGTCAGAAACTTCTAATCAAAAGTTATTAATAAACCATATCTCTCAATTTCATTTCAAAGCAGGACTCCTGACATGGCACCCTGGCCCCTTCGGTTTTTTACATTAGCAGGACTATTTTCACATTGGAGATCCAGACCCACTTATTCCAGCTACTTGGTTCCTATGGGCAAGTTTAAGGGATATACTGTGCAGCTGCCACCAATTTAGTAAAATATGCGCACAAGACAAATGAAGGCAAGACACATGCTTAATTCTGAGTTCCGGGAGAGCTTAAAGAATGTGTGCCCCAAAATAGACATACAAGTGACATTCCACAGGACCCCAAATAAAACAAAAAGCCCACTTAACACTTAACAGACTATTAGGCACTCAAGCAAAGCTTAATTTGGTCTCTGACTAGTAACAAGAACTTTACCCACTGCTGTGACGTCAATTCTGACTCATAGTGAGAAAAGAGAAGGAAAGAGTAGACCTGCCCCATAGGGTTTCCTAGGCTGTAATTTTTATGAAAGCAAGGTATAGGGTTGGCAGATGATGTTTCTACAAGCATATGTGTATGCACTATAAGAACATCTGGGTATATAGTACAGCTGACAAGGGGCAAGGTCGTGGTGGCTTCTTAGCTACAGCCAGCTACCTAGAGGGAGCAAGTAGTTGGACCTGTGGGCTCGAGATCATGGTCACAGGGGATATCAAGCTCAAATGGCATAACATACTACACAAAAACATTGTTCTGCATCCTACTTTAGTGAGTAGTGACTGGGGTCTTAAAAGTTTGCAAGAGGCCATCTAGATGCAACGATGGGTCTCTCCTCGTCCAGAACAAAGAAGAATGAAGAAAACCAAAGATGCATGGAAACAATTAGTCCAGGGGACTACAAGACCATGCAATCCTCAATCTATGTGACCATGATACCAGAAGAACTAGATGGTACCCAGCTATCACTGTCAACCACTAAGAAAGGAATCAGTGCAAGAGATCCTAGATAGAGTAGGAGAACAACATGAACAAAACTCAAAATCATTTAAAAATAAATAAATAAATAATAAAAAGACCACGTTTGCTGGTCTGATAGAGCCTGGTGAGAGCTCTGAAACTATGGCCCCTACTTACCCTTCAGATCTGAACTGAATTCACTCCTGTGGCTACCAGCCAAACGACAGACAGCATATGGGGTGAACATATAGGTCAGATAGATACACTCCTTGGAGTGATCAATCACGGGAGAACAGAAAGGCAGTGTTTACACAGGGACACAGGTCGGGGGGCAGGCGTGCATGGGAAAGAAGGACACAGGAAAGAGGTAACTATGGGGAGGAAGTAGGAAGAGAGCTGTTACACTGTGGGGAATTGCAGTCAAGGTCATAAGACAAAATGTGTATGAACTGCTATATGGAAAATGAATTTACTCTGTAAACTTTCACCCAAATTACAATAAAAACTAGGAAAAAAAAAAAAAAGATAATCTTTATGGAAACAGACTCTCAAGTCTTTTTCCCAGAGTAGCTGGTAGGGTCAAGCTGCCTGCCTTTCCACTGGCAGCCAAACTCTTAACCACTGTGCTCCCAAGGCTCCCAACTTTAAAAGAAAACTTAAGTTTGACAATTCAGAAATTTCTAAGGAGTTCCTTCTCATGTTTCTATCAAAGTACAATAAAAGTTCTAAAAACATTAGCAGGTCCTCAGGAATAAGTATATTGAGAAGTTTCTAAGTCAGTGGCTTTTGGAAACATTCATCATGGTTAGTGGGAAAGAAGGACTATTTAAAAACAATTTCTGGTGGCATTCTAAGGAGCTCTGGTGGTGCAGTGCCTAAGGCATCTGACTGCTAACCAGAAGGTCAGCAGTTCAAACCCATCAGCTGCTCTGTGGGAAGAAGATAAGGCAACCTACTTCCACAAAGATTTACAGCCTTCCAAACCCAATGGGGGTTACTATGAGTTGGAATCAACTTGATGGCAGTGAGTTTTTTTTTTTTTTTTGGTGACATTCTAGAAAGCCAACAGTGAAATGTAACCATGAGATTTTAATGACTGTCAATAAATACATGTATGATTGAGCTTCTGGGATAAGACTTATGTTAGAAGGGGAAAAAATCTAAATGATGAATCCAATACAGAGAATATTTAAATATATAGCATTGATGGAAACATCATGTCTGTTCAATTACAATTCAAACACTTTTGGAAGATTTAAGAGGTATACTGGGAGACATTTTAGTTGCTGAAACACTGAGCCTTAAAAACTTAAATCACAAACTATGAGAAGAATTCTTATTGTTCACCTGAAGCAAAGTTGGGGGCCAGGGTGTGTGTTTAAGATGCCTCACTTGAGAGATGTGGCGTCCCAGACTCCGATGGACGCTGCAGCACTCATCACAGATAAAAGTTCCCCTGTTTACTGATGCCCAGGAAGGATCTGGAAAGAAGAATGAAATAACAGTAGGTTCCAGAAGCAAAAGAAAGCAGTGCCGAGGACACCAGTTAGCTGCTATACTGACAGATGGCAAAAGATGATTGAGGTTTGTTTAAAAAAAAAGAAAGAAATTTTTGTTGGTTTCATATGCTAGTCAACACATTAAGCTGGTGACCCTGTCTGATGGTACCACCTATCTTGGCTGATTTGGTACAGTGTTAATCAACTCCTTTCTGGTTCTGGGGCACAGTTTATAACCCTGACATGGAACTACCATCTCAGATGCAGGCTCTTTCAGTCAATGTAAGAGAAACGTATTGACAGGCTACAGATGAACCATTTCAAATCCATCTCCACAAACAGCAAGAGAACACGCTTCTGATGGTGACTTACCAGCATAACATTACCTGAAGTAAGTGGTGAAAAAAAACTTCCACTCTAATCCACTGTTGTAAATCTACATGCCTCTATGCTTAGCAGAAAGTGGTGAGTGACAGGACTGTAAAGTCATTTAGCTGCTCCAGTACTGGGGACAAACTGGAAGACCTTGCCTTCTCTGACAGCCATTGCTGTTGTCAGTTGCCCTCCAGTCAATTCTGACTCCACGTGTTGCAGAGTAAACTGCTCCTTGGAGTTTTTTTGGCTGCAATCTTAACAGAAGCAGATTGCCAGGCCTATCTTCAGTGGCACTGCTGTGTAGGTTCAGACTGCTAACCTTTAGGTTAGTAGACCAGTGCAAGCCAATAACCATTAGTTGTTTTAAGTAAATTACTCACTGAGTCTAACCCTCCAATGGATCTGAAAGAACATAAGCTGCAATAACAACAGATTGCAGAAGCAAAAATGTAAAATAAAAACAAGTCATACATTTGATGTGTGTACAATACTTTTTTCCTACAAAGTCCCACAGAGCTTCGTGAGATATCCTTTGGAACAAGGAATAACCTACGAGTGGCAAGCAAGATGGATCTGGGGAAGTAAAGTGAGCACTTCAAAACCCAAAGTAAAGGAGGATCTTTGACATTTCATCAAAGTCACAATGGGGTGACAGTAGGTACCGTTCCAGCTGAGGGGCCTAAAGGTTGTTTTTAAATTCTTCAATGTCCACAAAAATCTCTAAAATGCATGTATATCATCTTTACCATTTTTAAGTTTATTTAAACCCTTTCAAACCATATAATGAAAAGTTATGGGATTTCAATCAAAGACAAAGCCTGGGGGGAGCGGTCAGAGAGTATGGTTGTTAAGAGGGTTGACCCTGGCTACAAGCAGTCCGGGGTTTGAACCCCAACTCTGCCACTCTCACACAATGATCTCAGACAAGATACTTCTTCAGGCCTCCTCATTATGATCAAATGGGAACACATCCATCTCAGGGCAGTGACAATACTAACAGAAGTAAAGCACCTTGCACACAATAAGTGCTCAGTAATGTTGACTATTAGATCGCTTATAAATTATTCTCTAAGCCACCATTCAGATATTTCAAGAGCCCACCGAAATGCATGACCACTGAAAAACATATTTTGATTAAGGAAACTTAAAACATCAAATGTTTCATGTGAATACCACCATGAAAATGTCAGATTTTTCAGGCAACTGAATTCAGAATGTGATGTAGTTAAAATGAACTATGTTAATTAAAACAAAACAATTAAAATATTGGAAAAGAAATAACCATGGTTAATAACAACACAAAACAGAAACAGAACTATTCAATGACTGTAATTCTCTCAGTACTACTACGCTTTCTACAAAGCAAAGACTGTAAATTCAAGATAAAGGATCCCCAAAACATCGGTTTTGCTTGTTTGTTTTGTTTTTTCAGCAGGGTACTACTATTTATGAAGGGAAAGACAGATAATTAGTTTTGAAGCATACTCTTGATTTTCACCTATCATCCAGAGAATTCACATTATTCTTAGAGGAAATGGAACAGGGCTAAGACAGCAAGGATTTAACATACATTAGGTAAGAGTCTCAATTAACCATCATGGGTCAGAATCTCACATCTAGAGTACTAAAACGTCAGAACATAGTAAAACCAAACTGAATCTGCACGAATAAGGGTGGGTGAAATTCTTCCAGTTTATTTGGATGTATTGTGTCAGGGCTGTGTGTGGGTTCTATGGACACCACAAATGAGTTTCTTAAGTGTCTGTGGCCCCTCTCATTAAACGTGCATACATTCTGTGTGAGAGTACCTACACGTGCATTTTCTGGGGAAAGCGCTTTACCATTCACCAGATTTGCGAAGGAGTCTCTAACCCTAACAGTAATGCTTTCCCTAGAGCTTTACAGAAAAGGCAGAACACATTCCTAGCTGCTCAAGGTCACAGAACATTTCAAGGTAGCCTAATTATACTTAAAACAGGAAGGAAGTGACTCAAGTCTCTGCAGATCAGGCATACGAGACAACAACTGAAATGATATAATGGAAGACAAAATGCTCTGAAGCGCTGCAAAGGCTGCAGGATCGAAAGGGTAGTGTTCAGAGTGGCCATGGACTTGACTTTGCCCCAAATCACAAGTTGAAAAGGAAAGAATACTCATTCCAAGAGGAAGTTTGAAGCTAGACGTGTATGAATCAAGCCCGATGCAGAAAGTTCAAGCGAAAATAGGCAAAAAAAAAAAGAAGGAAGTGGAAGCAACTAACATCTTTAGAGACTACCATGCATTTTGTGTAACTCACCCTAACTGGTTTATAAAACACGTCTTTTTAAACTCCTCCACCCCTCTCTCTACCTTCAAAGGAAACTGGTAACCCTGCTCCACCCTGCCACCCCAAAAGAAACATAGTGGGTTTGAGTTACCCTGTCGTTAGTTGCTGTTCAGTCCATTCAGTTATCCCAGTACTATCTGAAATTAGCCTGAACTTTCAAATGACAAGATGAAGTTCAAAACAGTTGCAACGATATCAGCAGTCAATGATTTCATTAAGATTGTTTATTGGATACAGGGAGGAAGTGGGAAGAGCTGTTACAATGTGGGGATTGGAATCAATGTCAGGAAACAAAATGTGTATTAATTGTTGAACGGAAAACCAATTTGCTAGGTAAACATTTACTTAAATCACAATAAAAAAATTAAAAAAAGAAAAAGATTTATTTATTGGATGCTATTTTATCAAGGAAGCCATCTTACTTTTGAATTACTTCCAACTCCAAGCAGATACACCCAAGCACTGAAAACTGCATATAATAATCTAGCCACAGAGACCTGTCAACTCAGTTCCAAAAGCTAAGACAGATCTGAACTGTAAATCTGAAAAACACGTATGGGCGGAAACTGCTTATGCCTGTATTGCTGAATGCGCAAACGTGCAAATGGCAGGTGATTTTGTGTTCGCCTGCTTCTTTTTGGCAAGTTGTAATTAATGCATATATAGAAATTCAAATCTAACTTGAAATTTGCAAGGGTTCCACAGTAAAGAACACAACACACACACATGCACACAAACACACACAGAAAGAAAGAAGAAGAAAACAACTCAGAAGACATGACCATGAGAATACTCCTTGAATCTTCCTAACTAACCACTGAGCAAAAATAGTCTTGATGCGCTCCATCGGAAAAATGAGGAAATCAAGTAAGGCTCGTCCACATGAAATTACAAGCCCAAGGTCACCCAGACCCAGTCCGAGCCCAGCCTATTCGGATCTCAAAACGTGAGACCTGCTCTGCCTCCTAAGTGCTGGTTGTTTCTGCAAGACCCCGACGTCTTGGAGACTCTCTTCGGTAGAGTGGGAGGAGGCAGGATGCCAGAAGCCGGGAAGGAATCAGCCCGTGGGCCCTCCTGCGGGTCTCGATGAGGGAAGCCGGAGTGTCGCCCATCTCAGGCAAGGCCTCCTTGCAGGACAGGGGTCTGGATTGTGTGTGTGTGTGATGGAGGAGAGTGACACCTGCAGCCTCTGGGGGCCGCAGCCGGGAGGATGCTAGCATTTTACTTCTGTAACTGGTCTTCCTGTAGATTGCCCAAGCCCCTTCCTGTCGAAGGAGCAGCCCCGGCCTCTGCCGCCTCTCCGGCCGGCCTAGGACAGAGGGGACGTAGAGGAAGAGACAGGAGGGCGGCGGCCCCCTCCCCGCCCCGCTCTGACAGGCCCGGGACGGGCCCCGCCCCAGGGCTGCCCCGGGCTCCCCCTCGTCACGACCCCAGCCGCGGGCCGCAGGACACGACCACCGGCACTCGCTCGACCCGAGGGGGCGGCCTCGGGGCAGGGGTCCGGGCCAGGAGAGAAGAGGGGAGCGGGCCCGGCCGGTGCGACTCACCCGGCCCGCTGCAGTCAGCGCACACCTCGCTGCTCCGGAGCCGCTTCGACATGGCTCCCGCCTCCCACCCGCGGGGAACTAGGGGCCCCGGGACAGCGAAGGTAGCGGCGGCGGCGGCGGCGGCGGCAGCGGCAGCAGCGGCGGCGGCAGCGCTTCCGCTCTAACGGGTCCTCGCGACGGCGCTGGCGGCAGCGCCTCTCCCCTCAGCGCCTCAGAGCCCCGCGCAGCACGCACGCGTGGGGAGGCGCCCTTCGGAGGTAGGCAGGTCATGTGACCGGAGAGGGCACACTGTCTTGTTGCCATCTTGAGTGCGGGCAGATGCCTTCCTGAACATCGTCTGCCCTACTTTTTAATCTTGAATTTAGGTCCTTCTCTCTGGGTTGCTAGGAGCCTTCATGGCACAGTAGTTAAGCATTCGGCTACTAACCAAAAAGTTGGCGGTTCCAACTCACTACCTGCTCAGGGAGAAAGATGTGGTAGTCTGCTTCTGTAAAGATTACAACCTTGGAAACATTATGAAGCAGTTCTACTTGATCCTATAGTGTCCTTCCTGTGGGCCGCAAGGAGTTGGAATCTATTGAGCAGCAGTGAAATACTGCCCATCTTGTGCCATCCTCACAACCATTGTTTTGTTTGAGCCCACTGTTGCAGCCACTGTGTCAAAGCTATCTCATTGAGGGTCTTCCTCTTTTTTGGTGACTCTACCAAGGATGAGGGAGCTCTGGTGGCATAGTGCCTAAGGCATTTGACTGCTAACCAGAAGGCTGGCGGTTCAAACCCACCAGCCACTCCTCAGAAGGAAGGTGGGGCAATCTACTTCAGTAGTGATACTACCTTGGAGATCCAAGAAGGGGTCGCTATGAGTTGAAATCGACTGGAGGGCAGTGAGTACCAAGGATGATGTCCTTCTCCAGGGACTAGGCTAGACCGCACCTTTCTTGATTTCTCTGATGAAAACTGGTCTATGATGTGCTCAAGGGAATTTTCTTTTCTTCTTATTCTTTTTTTTTTTTAAGTTTTTTCTCTTTCTAACCTCAGAAGAGCAAGATCGCACAGTCTGCTTTGACCCATCCAAAGCCAAACCAAATGCACTGCCATCAATTCTGACTCATAGTGACTGTAAGGAACAGAGTAGAACTGCCCCATAGGGTTTCCAAGGCTGTAATCTTTACGGGAGCAAACTGCTACTTCTTTCTTCTGCAGAGTGGTGGTGTGTTTGGAACTGCTAACCTTTTGGTTAGTAGCTGAATGCTTAACCACTGTGCCACCAGGGCTCCTTTCTTGATCCACAAAACCAAACCAAATTCACTGCCATCGAGTCGGTTCTGGCTCATAGCAAACTCCACTGGGTTTCTGAGGCAGTAAATCTTAATGGAGGTAGATTGCCCCATCTTCCTTCTGCAGAGTGGCTGGTGGGTTTGAACTGCCAACCTTCTGTTTCACAGTCAAATGCCTTAGGCACTGGGCCACCAGAGATCCTTTCCTTGATCCACAGAGGCTCCCAAATACAAAAGTTATTAGTTTTAACTTGATGAATGACTTCTCACAGCAGGTGATGGAAGCTGGGATGGTTAAGGAAAAAAAAAAAACTGTTTTGTGGAGTGCCCCCCTTGAAGTAGTGACCAGGATAGTTGCCATACCTGCCATACCTTAGAAACTTCTCCAGGTAGATCTATAATAAAACAAGTAAAACAGAATATGTTAGATGCTTTCTTCTTTAAGTTGTAGTCTTAATCTCACCTGTGCGATGGAGATAATCTATTATCTACCTCTAATCATGATGTATGTTTGTGTGGCTTGCTATGTGAGAATGCTTTCCACATTTTTAAAGAGTTTTAAAGAATAAAAATGAGAAGGAGTAGAAGGGGAAGAGGAAAAAGAAGAAGAACAAAAGCTGGTATGTAACCCACAAAGCCTAAATATTTACTGTCTGGCCAAGGACAAGTGGATTAATTTATGCATAAGTGTGGTTTGACTGCCTTATAGTAAAAATAAAAAAAAAATAGATCAACCAACCAACCAAACTCACTGCTGTCAAGTTGAGTCAATTCTGACTCTTAGCAACCCTTCCTAGGGTTTCTGAGGCGGTATCTCTACAGAAGTAGATTGCCCAGTCTTCCTTCTGAGGAGTGGCTGGTGGGTTTAAACCGCCAGCCTTCTGGTTAGCAGTCAAATGCTTTAGGCACTATGCCACCAGAGCTCCCATAGTACCCATAGTAAGTCCTCAAAATTGTAGCTACTATTATTATTGGTGGGAGCTCTGGTAGTGATACTGCCTCGGAAACCCAAGGAGGGGTTGCTCTGACTCGGTCCGACTTGAGGGCACATGACAACAACAACATTATTTTCAAATCACTGCCTTTCTTCCTATACATGAAATTTGAGACTAAGTATAGATAAAATCTGGAGCAATTTACATAATGGTGGGGGATAAACATCATGAGATCAATCAATGTGGAGGACAGGAGATATGTGACCCTCTGCTAATGAATATTTATTAAATGGGTTACGTGTAAACACAATTATAATCTCCATTCAGCAAATATTAGATGCGTAAGATGGGGCAATCTACTTCCACAGTGATACTGCCTTAGAAACCCAAGGAGAGGTCGCTATGAGTTGGGGCCAACTCCACGGCACATAACAACAACAACATGGGCCAAAGGAGCCCTGGTGGTGCAGTGGTTAAGGCATTTGGCTGCTAACCAAAAGGTTGTTGTTTCGAACCACCAGCCACTCTGCAGAGGAAAGATGAAGCGGTTTGCTTCTGTAAAGACTTACTGCCTTGGAAACCCAATAGAGGTCACTATAAGTTGGAATTGACTCAATGGCAGTGAGCTTGGTTTATCATGGGCCAGGAAATGTTTTGGCTTAGGCACTCCAGTAAATGAGATAGATAGGAAGTTTTCAGACTAATGAGATAGGAGACATGTTCAGGAAATAGGAGCGATGGAGAAAGAAGATTAAGTTGCACGAGGCCTCTGAAAGAATGAGAAATGCTCAAAGAGGCCTCTGAGGCACCACTGGTCCTTGGTCCATCTCTCCAGCTTGATAAGTGCGTGGTATGGGAACAGCCACAGAGTCCCCACACATTCCACATTTACAGTCTATGAGTACCATCCTGAAGCTTCTGCATCCTGTTTTGGTTCCCTGACTCACAAATCTGGGCTCAACATGTGTGGAGAATGGATTAGGCTAGGATTCTTCAACAGCTGTTGTTGCAGGCATCTGAAAAGCTGGCTGTGCACAAACAGAGGAGGCTGAGGGGAGGTTTTCAGGATGCATCAAATACCTCTGTCTAGCTATGGGGTCGAGACAGCTGAGCAGCGGCAACAGGAAGTTCAGGCTGCTGAGTAGCTATAAATTGATTTGATTCTTCATTGAAGTAGGGAGGTGCAGTGTCTGAGGTGGAAACTCAAAGGATGGACTTCATATCTGCAGATTGTGGTCAAGTCTAGGTATTTTATATGAGTCCTTTCAGTCTTAATCCAAAATCCAAATGGCTAGCTTCAAAAAGAAATAACACTTATAGGTGGAATACACCATTTTCATAGGTAGTTTTGAATCATAACTCACTTCAGAGTTCAGATACAACAGTGGTTCTCGGCTGGGGACCATTTTTTTTTTTCCCCAGGGGACATTCGAAAAATATCTGTAGACATTTTTTGGAGGGTGCTACTGACATCAAATCAGTAGAAGCCAGGGGTGCTGAAGTTCCACAACAACAACAAAATTATCCGTCCAAAATGTGCGGAAGTTGAGAAACTGTGATAAAACTATACCCTCAGTATGCAAATATTTAATGCCATCCCTCCAGGGTTTATAAAAAACAAACACATTACAGTCAGTCAAACTTTGACTCAAAGTGACCCCATAGAACAGTAGAACTGCCCCATAGGGTTTCCAAGGTTGTAAATCTTCACGAAGCTGATAGCAGCATCTGCGTCTCGTGGAGAGGCTGGTGGGTTCCAACCGCCAACATTCTGGGTAGCACTGGAACTCTCAACCGTTGTGACACCAGGACTTCTTCCAGGGATTATGTTATTGTTGCTGTTATATGCCTTGGAGTCAGACCCTCTCATAGCGACCCCTCCTTGGGTTTCCGAGGCAGTATCACTAGGGAAGCAGACTGCTCCATCTTCCTTCCGGGGAGGGCTGGTGGGTTTGAACCGCCAGGCTTCTGGTTAGCAGTCAAGTGCCTTAGTTATAGTTCCTCCCCTAAAATTGTTTGGTGTTGCCCACTTCCAAAATGGCTCCTGACCAATCACGGAAGCATCTGCCCTGGTCCAAAAAGGCTGCAAAGGGAGTCAGTAGTCCGAATGGTTTAGTCCAGGCCCAGTTGTCACCCCCTCCCCGCGACCTCAGAGCCAATGGAAGAGGCCCAGTTGTGGACCGGACCATCTTGGATCAATGAAGCAGAGGGAAGGAAGATGGTGATGGGTAGACCAAGTTTTCCAAGTCGAGATCCTGGGAGAAAAGAGGGAACTCAAGCTATGTTTTAGAAATTATGCTGTGTTCCCGGTGTGGATTTTGAGGTGGGTGGGATTCGGCGGCCACCTGACCGGCCGCTTAGGACTCGACCTCCCCCTCCATGGCCTGCGGTGGTTCGCTCCCCACACTTCCCTGTTTGGGACAGTTCGGCCCCCAGAAGTCAGTTCCGGAGCTGTCAGCGCGGGCGGGAGCGCGGCGGGGCGCTGGGTGGGCGCGGCCGACCCGGTCCCCGACCCGGCCCGCGACCCCGACCTCCTGCGCATCCAGCACGAGGCCCGCTAGGCCACTCAGCCGCGCCCCTCTCCTGCTTGCTCACTTCGTCCTCTCTCGCTCGCCGCCCGCCGGGCGGGCGCCGGAGACCCCACCGGGGCTAAGGCTTCTGGCGAGCGGGCGGCGAGGGCCCGGCTGCGGCCTCCGCGCCATGTCCTCGGCCCGCGACGCCAGCGGCGACTTCCCCCTGCATCTCCTCGTCTGGAACAACGATTACCGGCAGCTCGAGAAGGAGCTGCGAGACCAGGTGAGGGGCGGGACTGGGGTAGGTCCCCGGTGAGGGGGAGTTGGAGATCGCTTACTCTTCCTGAGCTCATTTCCAAGCCTTTGCCCTCGGGGTCCCGCGGAGCCCATCAACTCTGCAGTCTTGGGACGGCAATAATACCAAAAAAACAGGACATGTATTGAGTGCTTACTGTGTGCCAGCCTCTGTGCAGAGGGTTTTATATGCATTCTAACTTTTCCAACAGCCTTAGGGTGTAGGTATTAGGATTCCATTTGACAGAGAAGGAAACTGAGGCAATCAGAGGTTATGGGCCTCGTGCAAGGTCGTCCAGGTAATAAGTTTGCCAAGTCGGGGTTTTAAGTAGGCTGGCAAGCTCCAGCGAGCAAGGTCTTTCCCATTCATTGTTGCCATTTTTCGGTGCCATAGAGTCTGCTCAACTCATAGCGACCCAATGTTTAGGCTCCACCGTTAGTTACTGTCTCTCTCCGAGACCTCCATGTTAGGCGTTACTGTCTTCTCATCTCAGCCACGTTTGTTGTAAGATAGAGCTCGGTCAGGTTTGCAGGCCGGGTTCTAACTTGCTCTGTGTGACCTTGGGCAAGGCAATTTCCCTCTCTGGCTCACTTTAGCTTATCTGCAGAGTGAGAGTGTTGGTACTTATGTGGGCAAACCCAGTGCTGGACTACCTTGATAGGGCTGGGATGAGGTCCAAGAATCATTATTTTCACCAGCTCCCTAGGGAAGCTGGTAAGTTCCAAAGTTTAAGAATCACTGGTACCCAGGATCCTCACTATTTTTCCTTGTTCCAAAGTGCTCTGAGTCCTTGTCTTGTTTATTGCCATCTCTTCTCAACTGATTCTCAGCTGGAGGTGATTTTGCAATGAGTGGAAACATTTTTGGGTGTTAGAGATGGGGAGGTGGGGGAATGCTGCTAAACATTGTGCAGTGCGGACAACCCCCTATAACTGAATTAGCAGGCCCAAAACGTCAAGTGTCTTGCTTGAGGAACCCTGCTGTAAACCAAACCAAAACCACTGCTATCGAGTTGATTCCAACTCATAGCAGTCCTGTAGGACAGAGTAGAACTGCACTGTAGGGTTTCCAAGGCTGCAAATCTTCATGGAAGCAGACTGACACATCTTTCTCCCGTGGAATGGCTGGTGGGTTCAAACTGCCTGCCTTTTGGTTAGCAGCTCAATGCTTTAACCACAGCGCCACCAGGGCTCCTTCATGCTTTTAAGGGCATCCCGGCATTTCTGGGAGGTATGGGTGCCATCAAGTTACAAGCTAGCAGACTTAACAGGATAAGGATTTGCAATGATCTCCGAAATCTGGTTTAATTGTTCTTGTTGGGTTTGTTCATTTTATCCAGTGGGCTATGGTCCTGGTCTTTGAATGGCTCAAAACTGGTCCCATAAGTAAGAAATTTTAGAAGAAAAGGATGATTGGTATTCTTTTGGTAGGGAAAAACTGAGCCAGGTCAGCATCATCACCCCATTTGATGAATGCTGATTGCTGAGTGCGTGCTTGCCCTTGCCATGTTTCTCTTAAGTCTGTCAGGCACCCACTGGAAATCAAAAGTGTGTTTCTTGTTCATTTAAATCATCTGTCCAGACAAAAGAAACTTTTCTGAGAATCGTTGCTTTTAATTAGTTGGCACCACCAGTGTGTACAAGTTAAGGAGCTATGACACAGGCCCCAGATTAAATGATTCACCGCTGGGCATCCCAGCACACCTGATGACTTCATTCCCCTTCTACTCGGTGTGGCTCGGAGGGAATTCTCCATCATTTTATTCTTAGCTCTATCTCTAAGTCTGTCCTGGGACACTTTAAAAGATGACCAGACTGGTTCTGGTTTTTAGATGTCTGCTGAATTTTGTGTCTCCAGTTCTTTAGTGTCTACCCCAGCCTCTTGTGAAATGCCAAGAGAAAATACAAAGAATGTCACAGAGGGTTCATCATCATTATTAAATCATCCACTCTTTTAATGCCAATAGGAATTGAAAACAGGTGGCTTTCTAGTCATGGGAGATGAAGAAAAGAGTTTAAATGAATCACATTTTTTTTTGTTCTTTAAATTTTAAACAGAATGTCAGTACTTGTTTGATAAGACAAGAACAAACAAGGTCTTGGTTTATAATCTAGAATGTGTCATAGTTGAATTCTCTCTTTCCTGCAAACTTTGTTAAAACTGTTCATTGAAAGTTCTCTGTGCCTCTTAACCATGAACCATGTTAAGGGCACTTGTGACCAGGGAGTGTAATTTCAAGATTTTCCTGGAGTAAATTGGTCCTAATGCCTTCAGTTGTCAACAAGGGTAAGGAGGAGTAGTCATCTTTGCTAATTACTTGGCTTTGACTGTCGGTTATTTCACAGCATAGCACTTCCCTTTGGGGAAGAAACAGTTGAAGTGTAGCCATAGAGAATGGCTTGCCATGGACGCCTGACCTGCAGGACCACGTAATCCAATCTCAGTCTCACAACTTGGTCACTGAAAGGCTCCAGACAGAGTGACTTTTTGGACATGTGACTTGTGTAGCAGAGTCCTTTGCTCAGAAGGGTCTTACACTTGGTTTAATGCTCTGTGGTCTCCATCTTGAAATTCTTATTTATTTTTGAATAAGGGGGATGCATTTGATTTTCCACTGGGCCCTGTAAATTATGTAACTGCTCCAGGGTAAAGAAGTTAATGATTGGTCACATTAAAATATATAGCAGGAAATGCTTTGTCCCTTTCGTATTTATCAGATCTTTTACTGATTGTGAAACAGCCACCTACCTCTGTGGCATGGAGGCAGTTGGGTTTAATGGTGTGAAAAGGGAGTGGGGACAGCTTTGCCTGACCTGGGCTGACTTCATGGGGGGGAGACAGAAACACGATCAGCAGCATCAACCAAGGCTTGTTCCCAAGAGGCGGTGGTCAGATATGCTGCCATCCTGTAACCCTCGTACCAACCTTGATACCAATTGTCCCTCCCACAGCACTCTGCTTCTCTGCTGAATTCAGTAATTTGTGGCAATGGCCACACAGAACTCACAGATGATACTCACGATTGTGATGTTTATTAGGGAGGTAACAGGTTACAGTTCAGGTTTGGAAACACTTAGTATACAATTCTTTAATCAGGACAGCCTCTCTTTGGCCCTTGGCCTCTTGGCCTGGCCTCTGCCCTGCTCAGGCAAGTGTTAACAGAATTAGTTCTGTTAAAAGGTTCAGCTCATTCTACCAGTAAGCCTCCTGCCTGAAGGCACTCAGCTTTCTTGCTCTGTGGGCTGGCAAGCCTGCTGCTCTGTCTTGTGCCAGTGTTTCGGTTCTGCTGCCTCTGCTGTCACCCACTCTCTGTGTCTCTCTGCCAAGGAGGTCCAGCACAGGGATCTTGGGTCCAAGGACACATCCCACTCCTGGTTCTTTCTTGATGGCAGCGAACTCTTTTTTTGCCTCTCCGATGGCTCATTTTAAGCTTAGTGAACTGGTAAAACTGACCAATCCCCATGTTAGGGTTCCATATACCTTATTTCCATGGTCCTACCTCGGAAACCCAAGGAGGGGTCGCTATGAGTCGGGGCCGACTCGACGGCACATAACAACAACAACAACAACCCCCATAAAGGTGCCATGTACCTTATTTACATTATTAGCAAGCTCTCTGGGGGGGGGGGCAAGATATCTACCAAGGGGCCACAGCGCCTCATATTTACATAGTCCCACCCAGTCATCTGCTGGTAGTCACCAAGACCATGGCTGGAAGAGCCATCTTAAGTAATTCACTGCACTGCATTAATACTGATTCCTTTGTGAGCCTGGGCAAGTCATTCACCCCTCCTAAAATGTTTCATCGCCTGTGAAAATAGGGAGAGTCACACTGAAGGCTTGTCATTTTTCCAGAAGTTTGTGCTGAAGTGTTTCTGATGCAGTCTTAAGATTTCATTGTCATGCCAACCCTCTGAGATGTGTACTACTGTGATTCCCATTTTACAGATGAGGAAACTGAGGTGAGGAGAGAGGCTCAGTCACACTCCTAGCTACTGGCGAAGCCAGGATTGGAACCCTGAATGCAGGACTCTGTCCAGATCCTGTTTTCTTAACCACTTCACTCTACTTCTTCCAGTAAGAATGCCTCTATTTCAGGGGATGAAGGAAGCTGTGGGTTGAAAGGGCAGACATGTAGCATGTTAGAGCATTACCACTTACCAGTAGCTGTTGTTGTTATAATTGTCATCCATAAACCTGTACATTTAGCTCCTTTCATGTATCTTCCAGTTTTTCTACAAGGAACATGTATTGATTGCACAGTTCAAAACCAGAAAGTTCCTGTCACCCCAGCAATATGTTTCTGCTGTCTTCTTCATTCTTTCAGTCACATTAGAGGGACTCGAGAGCCACAGTGGCAGCTGTAGGACATTAATTTTCTATCAGCGACAGCAGCACAGAAAGAATCCGGTCTATCTAGATGAAGGGGATAAGCCACGAGTTCGAGCCAGCCCCAACACCCTCAATCTTGCCAATAATTGGTGCTCCTGTAACTGCCAATGGGAGTTTCACGCTTTCAACGTTTGCTCAGCAAAGGCATTTAATAAAGTGCCTCTTAACTCATCAGCCCTGCTGTCTTTGATGTTCAGTGGGCCTTGAGTTGGTTGCTGAAGTTGCCACTATTTGTTTTCTAGGTATATCATTTGTCATTCAGCTGAAGAGGCCTGTTAAACTCCTTTGGCCTTCTTACCAATACTGGATGAATGAAGGAAAAATTAAGTGCACCTTAGACAGGGTAGGGAAAACCCCCAGGATTCAGGGTGGAGAGTAGCCGATGAGGTCTGAGTCTTGGTCCAGTCTGGGACCAGCAGCTGAAAGTAGAGCATCCATGCCCAGAGGAAAAGAACGGTCTAGGCAGAGAACCATCCTGGGCTTCCAGCCCCAGCCGTTGGCAGGCCAGGGGCGACCAATGGGCACACATTCCAGTTGGTGCTCTTTAGCTGGAGGCCTGTTGTGAGCCAGGGGCCAGACAACCAAGATGAAGGCCC